GTTAAATACCCCTTCCTCTGCTCAAACTCACTGTTGGCTTCAATGGTGGACTACAAATCCTAGAGGTACCTGGAAACAAGAACAGGAAGCAATGAGCAACCCTGCAGGGTCCTGTTGATGTAATTCTGGACTACAAATCCCACAGACATTGGGGACAGAAGGAAGAAGTGAACATTCAGCTAGAGAGCCATACTCTAGCACCCCCAGGCTTCTGGCTCGAGCCACTGCAGGAAATCAGCCACATGCCTGCATCAAAGGTAAATGTCTGTTCTCTTCCGTTTCAGTTTAATACGTGCAGTTTAGATTAACCTGTAAAGACCAAATCAATTCTTCCTCGGGTTGGGTGCAGACAGTCAAAAAGCCCAAGTGCCTTCCCACAGTCCCCCTGAAAGGGCTGGCAAGTTCTCCCATAATCAGTACAATTCTTGACTATGCAAGATAGTTGCAGTATATCAACATGTATAGGTTATGTCCCCAGATGCTCACACACACTGCTAAGTGCAGAAACAGTGAGAATATAACACCACAAATAAGACTTAACAGTGGGACAAGACTAATTTGGGTGCAATCAGCTGGGTTCTCTGTAACATGGGTATAGCCATAGGCTATTTTTTCACTGGGAAGCAAGATGTGTTCTTAACTCATGTAAATATGTCTTCACTAGGGTTCTAACATGCCATAGCTGTAGTTTTAACCCAGTTAGCCATTGGAGGTAAATAGCAAGGTATTCAAGCCCAGCTAACATGAGCTCAGCTGCAACTCCTTTATCTTGAATAACATAGGTTAGAAGTAGGCCTTTGAAACTCTTACTTTAATACTGAGAGATGAAAAGACACTTGCCATCAGCTTTAGCAGGAGAAGAGCGAAGCCAGTAGTGAAACTCCCACCAGGTTAAGTGGGAGCAGTGTTAGGCCATACCTCAATAGCTTTGATAAATATCACAGCTTCATTTATGGGGAAAGCTCACATCTTCCATTTAGGATCCTCCCCAGTTCTACCTGCCCATTATAAAACTGGCCAGCAAACACCCTTTTCACTCCCCCAGCCCAGCACTCTGATTACAGAGAACTAAGAGTAGAGAATTAAAGACAAAAAAAGTAATTTCCTTCTGACACTTACGCAGCTGGGTTCTAGCCCAGCATATCCTATGAAGGAATATAGAATAACCCTTGTATATAACTTCAACTATAATAAGCCCAATTCATCCCTCCATTGACTTTAATAGTGGTAGGCATGGGACTTAATGGGACCACTGGGTTTAAACCTGCTCTCAGATGTGCCCTGGTCTCCCAAAGCCAATGGAAGCTACTCTCGTCTCTCCAAGGAAAATTTTGTCCAACTATATTTAAGGATTTAACATTTCAATTTACTTATTGAATACAGGCCACAGCCCCACAAAAGCAAAGAAAATCAGAAAGAAAAAAAATATTCCAAAATTACTGCAAAATAGCAAAGTGCACCCTCTTCTCCCATCAAAGCACGTATATTTACAACGCAATCAGCATTGGTGTTGATTAATATAAAAGAAGAAGCAATATTTGCCAAAGCACCTGCATTTATGATATGTATAGACCTATAAACAGTCTGTAACCATAGCAATAAGATACAGTGCAAGAATTTCCTAGTCTTCTAACCACGGAACTAGTAGGAAGCATCAGATAGTATCAACAGAAGTAGGCATACCAACAGCATGGGCATAAAGAGATAACAGGAACACAGTCTAGAGTCCCAGCTGAGAGGTCTACAACAGCAAGGATCAGTGAAAAACATATGAAAAGATACAGTCCCCTGAGTCAGATACTGATGAATTCAACAAATGCCTTTATGGGCTTTGTTTTATAGCATTTTCCATGACCGTTCTTTTGCCGTCATGCATGCCTGTCAGCTCTGGTACATCCCACTCATTGATGTACATGTTCCTGCAAATGCAGTGTGATGTATTCAGCTGAAAGTATCATTAACACAGACCACAGCCCCTCTCCACACAAGGTAGCTGATTAATTTAGGCACACATCTGTGGTGGACATCCTGCTTACCCACTGTCCTGCAAACTTAAACACCTAACAGCTCACATTCCAATGAGCAGATTTTTAAAAAAGATGCCCATTTTCAGTATGAAAGCATTGGAGCATAGATGTCACAAAGTCACATTTAGAGTTCAGCACTGCAAGTCAGGGCTGCGAGTTGTTCCAAATAGCAATGACCCAGCTATACTGTTGGAATAGACCATATTGGGCAGGTAAAAAACACGCAGGGGAGGAAACATACTTTTAAAACATTCATTTTTGAGCTGCTTGTACAGCACAAAGAGCTCAATCAATGAGACACTGAGCACATAAAAATCACAATTCACCAAAGGCATTGCGTTAAACTCAGCCTCACCTTATAGGTTCAAGCAATAAGGGACATGACCTTGCTTTGAGGCTCATCTTGGGACTCAGGCTCTTCATACAGGCTGCACAAAAAGTGAGTCAGCCACACTAAATGTACAAAAAACACCATCACACACCAAGAGGAAAGAGCAGAATTCATCTGGTTGAAGGTTATAGCCTTTGGGTGAAACCCAGCCTAATACAGACAGCACTTACATTTCACCTAAGCCCCTTTTCTGAGCTTTTCATGTGTATCTAGGCCTCGCCCTAATCCTCTGCCCAGTCACACATATGACCCTTTTACAGAGAAAACCAAGTTTTTCTTTTTCTGTTCCCCCTCTCCATTAGATGAAATGATGGAATCATTTTACTCCGTGGGGACTAAATTGCAAACTGGCCACCTGAAGAGAATTTTATCCTTCAACTAACAATCCTGCTCCCACTCCAATCAATAGCAGGGGCTTAGATGACCAACAATATCCAGAGCAAACCTTCTCCTGCAGTCCTTGTTCTGACAAACAGAAAAGATCTTACCAAGAACCCATTTTCCCTGAAAGGCAATGAAGACTTGGTTGTCTCGTAAGACGTCACAGAGGAGCAGATCTCAGCTGCTCTGAATACTCACAGTTGATTGGAGTCAGCTGATGATCTTCCCTAGCATCTCCTAGACAGGAAAAGTGCCATGCTCCAGGGCTGTGTCAATCAACAAGCTGAAGGCAACTAAAGCAGGATATGAAAAAGAGTATTGTGGATCGACTAACCCCAAAGAACTGGTTTCTAGCAGGCCATGATATTAGCAATTTTCTTTTATTAAAGCAATAATGGTGCATAGTAACTTCTAATAGAGAACTAGATAACTAATAGACAACTATATTAAATGTAATATTTATTGAATGTAATATTTACTGCATATACTTTTCATGATTTGACTGTTCCTTAGACACTGCTTGTCCCTACCCACAAAAGGTAGCTATTTTATTCCCATTTTAGAGGTGGGAAAATTGAGGCAAGCAATTTAACTGCTGACACATGCAGGGAAAGAAAGGCACTTTACTGGAAGAGGAACCACGTCAGTTCGATCCAGCTCCCCAGTGTCTGTATAGACTGTGTGCTTCAGTGGGCCTTTTTGGCACTTTTATCTAATAGCTGATTCAGTCAGCTGTTAGATAAAAGTGCCAAAAAACCCACTCTTGCTGAAGTGCACAATCTATACAGATGCTGGGCAAGCCAGGTCATGCAGTTCCTCTTCTGGGCATGCGCTGTGCTTGGTGCGGGGGCACACTGAGCTGAAAATAAAGCATTTGGGGGGGTTCTGCATCTGCATCCGCCAGAAGCCTCTTTTAAACTTAGGCACACGCATTCAGGGCTGCCTCATTGACACATATAGCCAACATGCATCTCCTACCAAGAAGCCAAATATTCATGTAGCCCACTGTCTGTCTACATATTGATTTCTAATGTGAGTTTATATAGCACGTAGCACAATGTGATCCCAGATGGGGCTGTTGGACACTCCCATAATACAATTAGTAATAGTAATAAACCTAACCAGAATTTATTTCCATATTAAAGTGGGAGCTACTAGCGTCTGTTACAGTTCAGACTACAAAACCCTTTCTGTTCTAACCTCCTTTCACCATGTTTTCTGACATATTCCCTGCAGGGATGACATTCCCATGCATGGTTTCTTCCCAAAGCTGAGGGTTGTTTGGATTGTTTGAGCAAGATGCCTTCAGCTGTTTGTGAATTAGAGAACAGTGGTTGGGGGAAGAGAAAAGCAGACTACAAAGAAAGAATGGCCAGAGTCTGAAACCTGGCACAGGGTGAGTGTTCATTGAGGAGCCTGTGCTTTCCTAAATTGGAAGAAAATTGGTTTTGATTTAACATAGTTATGAGTGTATGAAAACAGCACACTTAGCATGCGCAGGAGTAAATGTCTTTGTGCAGTCTTAGCATTGCATTAGCATACTCTTTTCCATTTAATTAAGTGCTGCAAATTATTTTTCTGTTAATTATTTTAGCTATGGACATTATTATTTTTCCCTTTTGGAAAGCAGAGTCTATTTTGAGGGGTTAATAATCCTTCTAACTCTCCTTTCCTGCAACTGTTCATTGCTGCTGATAAGATTCCACCTGCTTTTGTTAGACTGTAGGCTTCTAGTTCATTTATAATTGGATACATCCTGTACCAAATATCTCCAGAAGCACTGATATGATATCCCAGATGGTAATATTCTCTCTTCCCTCTGTGCGTAATTTCACAAAAAGACCCACTGACAGCTAGTGTTTAAAGAGAATTTGTGGATGCAGACATGTTAGGTGATCTGATCTGCTTCGTGTTGGGGATGGCTAAATTCATTCATGTGAATTGAGGTATGAGGAGAGGTGTGCTTAGAGCAAGGAACTGGGGTTTGAAGCTCCCAAGATCTAATCCCAGTTCCGTTGCTGATTTGTTCTGATGCCTCTTAAACTCCCCCACCTCAGTTTCCCCCTTCTTAAAATGGGGATATTATTGACTGTGCCTACCTTGCAAGGGTGTTGTGGGGATTATTTAATATTTGTAAAGCACTTTGAGATCCTCTGAGGAAAAATTCAATATAAATGCAAAGCAGCAGCATTGTTACAGTGTTAACTATTGAGAGTCTGTCCTGCTTTCACAGTCATCTGTCTGGTCGTGTTCATATACCACAAGGCAGTGATTCCTCATCTTCCCAAAGAGGCTGGAAAAAAACAATCCCAATTAAGTCTATCATTTGGGGGTCGGCAAGAATCCTCTGTGGAATGACATTTCCTGTCTCCTTTCCATGTGTGTGTATGTTCTGGATTGCACAAAACTGAACCTTTTTATGCAGTGCACAATGATACAGGAACGATGGGCAAAGCACCAAGTGTTTGAAGGTCTGAATATATTCCTAAAATGTAACCAACCATCCCATATCTCCTCAGACAAGCTGGAAGTCTCACAAGAACAAGCCTTCCCCAGATTTCCTGTGCACATCTCTTTTATCTCCTGTGTGAAGAGATTTTTCTCCTCTTTTTCTACTTCCACTCCTAGCTAGAACCAGGAAGGATGGAGAACCGTGAAATGATGTATTCTTGACATCCCGAAGAATTTCAGTCTGCATTGCATGACCTTTCTTCTCAAATCAAGGAGAAGAGGATCTTTACATCTTCAAAAGAGACCCACAACCACTAAACTTTATAACCCCTCTGCTAGGTCAGTAGTTTACTTATTTTGCAAATAGGAAAGCCAAGGTGCAGAGAAGTTATGCTAAGAATTTCAACAATCAATGATTTGGGTTTCTCTATTTTGGGGGCTGCCTTAAGTCATCTTAAAGGGGTCCTACCTTATTTTCAGAAAATGCTGGGCACCCAGCCTTTTGAGATCCCTTTCAGGTGTCTCCCTTCAGGCACCTAAACTTACTAATTGCTCTTTAATCTCCAAAGCAACAAAGCAAAGCAGTGGAGGAGATGGGACTTTAGCTCAAGTGGTCCTGGTCTGTTATTCATTAGTGTCCACACCTCCACCAAAGAGCAATGGGCTTCAGGGAACCTGGGTTCAATTATAAAATCTATCCCAATTTGAACCTCTCTGTCACTGCTACTCACTTCTGTCCCACCCCACCCCTTGGTCTTTTTTTCTCTCTTTAACCTACACCAAATGCCTTTTCATTAAAAACTCATGTGCATCCTAGAGGACATATTAAGCCCAGGGCCCCACAGACGGTCAAAAGCTAGCCTATGAATATATTGCATTGTCTTTGTTTTCCCAAATCCTAATAAAGATCTCTGAAACAAGATGCTAATACCAGATTATCTGGGTAATCTCCCTGAGTTACTTCCACAGATTTTCCTGGTTATAAATAATGAATTAGGCCTTTACTTATTATTTCTTCTTCCCTTTGGGGTCACTGCAAGTCTTGGGAAGGGATACAGGTTTAAGAATATTAGATCCATTTATTTATATCAATTCCTGCCAATCCTGCATAAGGGAGGTCGCTCTCTCAGCACCATACCACTGATACAGTGAAATGGCAGAAACATTAATGGTATGGATCTAATAGCTAAGAACTGTCCTGGGTCTCTCACCCTGTCCATAAATCGGATTTTAAAAGCTAGATACGTGCTTCATAAGTCCCAATAGAATCAGGTACCAGCATTGATTTTTTTTTTTCCTGTTCCTTGAGCATTTGTAAGATTAAAGTCTCCTCCTGGATCTTCACACTATTCTGTTGTTGCAGTTTATCTCCCAGTCTTCCACACCCCTGCTACTCCCATCCTGCATCCTCAACCCTTCTCTGCCACTGTATCTCAAGTATTTCAGTGATACCTTCCCCTGCCATATGCACTTCACCAGAACACAAGCCACACCCCTTGAAAGACCAGAATTAACACTGCACCAGAATAAGGCTCTTCAAAGCAGTGGGGTCAGTGTGCAGGACTGCACCCAATCTATGCTTGGCTCTCTGTAGCTAGAATGCCATTCCATGTGCAAAATGTGAATTCTGACCTGCAGTCACGTCTGCTTCTGTATATGTGGAACCTCAGGTGGTTTGGTAAAATATGTCTCAGCTCTGATAGCGCTGGGGTTCGTCTAATTGTCCAGGCCCAGGTTCTTATACATAAGGTTTATAGTTACAATGATAATTTTCTTAGGGTCTCCTACTGTTGTTTCACCACTCATATAGTTCCCATAGTGGCAGCAATGGTAGATGTACTAGTGTAGACCAGCATCCTTACCCCTGTTCACCAGTGCAGCACAGACCAGCTGCCAGCACTCTTAGTACTACATTAGGTATTCCTGCTCAGAGCAGGTCTAGGCAACACTAATGACCAGTCTACACTAGCTCTTCCACTAATTGTTACCTCCACCACTACAACAACAGTGTGAGATATGAAGAAAAATGCCAATGCAAACAGTCTCCAGGAAGAACGCACCACAGTCCTGCCTAATCACTACTCAAATCACTGCCAAATACAGAACCAGAAAAAATTTCACATACTGCATCTCAGTTATGATATGGATATAATGTCTATGCCATATATTCCTGCCGAGGCCTGTGCCTGCATTAAGCTGAAGCTAATGCTGGTGTTCAAAGTACATTTGGTATGGGAGGCTGCCAGAATGAGGCCTAAACCGAGGGTATGGACAGATGCATCATTTACACTGGTGTAATCAGGGTGTAACCTGCTGTAACTTTGCTCAGTCCAGTGGATAATTTCCCCTGAAAGAACTGGAGGAAAACTCTACCAGTGTAAGTTATACCTGTGTGGGTGTTGTTTGTCTACATCCACCATGGGATAGCCATGTGCTGAAAGCACATAGGCTATTAACTGCTTCCCACTGCTTAGCAGTGAAGCACTTTGATAGTGACCTCCTGTGCACATCTGTCTGTCCTTTATCCCTGTGTAATCTACATTGGCATGTCCGTGCCTAGAGAATCCTTTGCCATGCCCTCTATTAACTGAAGAATGAGGAGGTAACTCCTGATGAAAAGCTGATCACTCCCCATTATGTTTAGCCTTG